CCCCCCGTACTCCTACCAAATTTGAGCTTTTCAGGCCCACGGGGACAGGAGTTATGAATTTCCGGTCAAACACACACACCGACACACACACACACACACACACACACACACACCGACACACCAACAGACACACTTAGCGAATTATATAAAGTAGGATCAGTCTCAGTAGGTCAAGCAACTCCTCTTTCGCATGGATTTCCGGCTTGATGCGGTATATTTCCCGTGCCTCCATGATTTTCCTTTGCAGTGGCCGTACCAAATATCTGTGCAAAACCCTCACATCGAAGGATGGAGCGTTTTCTTTCTCATGCCTAAGTGTACGGTGCCCGGAAAAACTGCTGTGTGGATAGGCAGCGGGATTGGCCAACGCTCTTCTATGTTCATCCAGACGAACCTTCAGTGGTCTCGCGGTCTCCCCCACGTACTTTTCTCCACATCCTCCACATTGAATCAAATAGACAGTGCCTTGGAGTTCACAGATCTTCTCAGAAGTGCAGTATCGACAAGACTGTTCGCGACACCGTCTTTCGTAAATTCGGGATGATGTTAGGAGATCCTTCAGTGTAGGGGGAGGTCGGAAAACAAGACGAATGGGAAGCTGGGAGTTTTTGACGACGCCGGGACCCAGGTCCTTGTATTGCCTTCGGAGTATCCGTTGCTGAATTCTAATAATAAGCATCTAATTCAAATTCTGAATTAGATGCTCCCTCTCTTACTGAGGTCATAAACAACTATCTGGTATCCAGTGCATGACGTGAGACTAATAAGCTGCAACTGACCCTTTCTAGAAAGGGACGCTTCGAGAAAGGCTCAATGCCACCAAGTGAATGCTCTTACATTCATATCATTCGTAGAATTGGTTTGATTAAGTCATGCACAACCTTCAGTCTGCAGCTACCACTTAGAATTCGTTTGGGTGTGTACGTCGGTGAAGCGCTTTGAAGCCCTTCTACCACCCTGACGATTTTTAATGTCCCACGTGCTGTTACTGAGTACCACAATATTATACTAAGGGGAGAAATCAGAAAACATCTTGGTCGTGATCCGTGCCTTCAATTAACAGCAGGCCAATCCGCAGCTATATTTAGCTTTTGGTGTCATTCTATAACATTTCGCAATTCGCAATGCATTTTTGGCATCAGGTCGTTGCTCTTTAGGGTCAGCCCTAGTGTACCATGAGCTATGGATGTAAAGTTCGGTCCCGACTCCCTATATTTTATGTAAAGGAATGTAGCACTTCATTTAACTCGTCTAAAAAGGGATTGAATCAGTTTAGGTGACAGCCTTGTATAAGAACGCGCAAGAAAAGGCAAGCGGGTGTGATCGTATACCCGAATGCAATTTTCTTTCATTTCTCTAGCCCGAAAGAGGAGGTGACTGAACATAAAGAGAAACAGACAGAGTTTCGCATAAAAAGAGGCACAACTCCAAACGTGAAAGGTGCGTCAAGGCGTCACTCTCGCATCAAATTACCCACGCTGCCACCATCGGCAACAATTTCACGTCCGTGTTTACCCCAACGGAATGTACTTGGAAATGGCTATAAGACCACAAGAAAATGTAAAGCATACGAAAGCAGCTTGCGGCTCTTTGGAGTCTAGGCACGTACACATCTCAAATCAACAGATGAGGCTCCAACAAAAGCATAGACGTTGCTTTTGAGTTCTGACAGCCAGGCGGCAACACGACTATTGACATGCAATTCTACAGGAAGAAAGCCATTTCCACTTAATCACTTATCTCCGCACTTCGCGCAGCTCCGAGGGTTAGTGAGAGGGAAATGGATGGATAACAGAGACTTCGGTAAAGTGTGAGAGAATAGCAATGGATAATGAGAGGAACTGAGGAAACCGGAGGGAGGGGAGGAAAAAAAATGCTTCCAGGCGAAAGTAAGCTATAAAGGACAAAAGGGCAGCAGAAAGAACTAGAAAATTAAAAAAAACAGCATGAGGGGAAGGTCTGCTTTTTCGTAGTCACCAAAGATCTAACAAGCTCACATTCCAATCCAATCCTCGGTTTCACAGACTCAGCATTTGCGCTCTAACTGAACGGCCGGAATGAGACAAGTAAATTGATGTGCTCCTGTTTCTGCAGCGCGCATGGAATGGGACATTCCGTGACTTTATCAAAAAGAACCTTGGGTTCCATCAGTTAAGTAAGGTTGTATCATCGGAAATTCGCTGCTCCTTCTAGACATGAATGTGGGATGAAATTGTCAGTCAAACATGACCTTTTTCTGGGAATCATTTTCGGGGCAAAGTATCCCAGCAAATCATACAGACATAAAATTTGAAGAAGTGTTAGAACGAATAATTAGAAAGAAGCGTACAGCTATAACCCAAGGAGTTTGAAAAAAAAAAAACCTAACGTTTGAGCGGAGCGACGTTCTTCGTGAAGCGAATGGCCACAACGTTAGGCTCCCAAGCTTCCTCGATGGGTAGCTACTCCAACCTGCGCTGCACAAATCATTCTTTCATCCGTTTTGATGGAGGAACCACGCGAAGTGAGAGCATTGCAAGAGCGAGACCAAATCAGTTGGACAGAAACAGAGGAGATGGATGCATGACCTCCACGATGTATGAATTCGCCTGGGCGGAATGCAAAAGCAAGCGCTATCTGGTGCTTTCTGTTCCAGCAATTCATATCGAAAAGGAGCAACTCGGAAGCAAAAGAGTCTTCATAAGGTGCAAGTACCATTTACTTACACAGCTATTTAAATCGAGATTTTTCGTTTCGTCATTGTCATCAACCCATAACTACCGTTATCTAAAGAGTATTTCGACCTACGGTCTTTATTGAACCTGCTTTTGACGGCCGCATCCTACAACTAAGCTTACCCCACCAGCACGTGTGAATAGCCCCGAATGCCAAAGGAAATATAGAAGCCCGAGCTTTGTCATAAGGGAAGTGGCATTCGCCAATCTCCTGCCGAGCTCAGAATGGCAAATGTGAATCCGCAGAAAATGAGATTGACTGAGCGCTGAAGCTCACTGGCGCGTGACCTCATAAGGATGGAAATGTGAGGGAACGTACCTGCTCCTGCTTCGGGTTCAGACGAGCGCTGCGACGCCTCTCGACATGAAGTTCGTCTTCCTCGGATGAGTCATCGCGTCTCGAGATGCTCTGATGCTTGAGCTCGCGTGCGAGTCGCAGCATCGTCGTGGAAGTCGCAGCAGCTCGCGGCAGCGTGACGTCCCCCACCAATACCCGTAAGATGAATACGCTCTCGTACGCTTCCTGCTGTTCCCAACTGCTTTTACCCTTCGATCCACATCTGAATGATTGGATATTAGTTTTGAACAAACTACATTTGAATGGCGTAATCACACGAGGAAAAGAATAAAATAACAGGAGGGACGAATATGGACTAGTGGAAAGGTCGGTTGGCTCATTCAGCTCTACTGAAGCGATCAGAACCAGACCAAATTTCGCTCCGGTATTTTACAATAATTGCTGGCCTATTGATTCGGCGCCTCGCGCTCTTATTGGAGGCCCCGACGAACGCACAAACACACGACACCCCCGAACTGAACCCAACTTAACAAAATACAAAAATTAGTCTACGTTTCTGGTTTAAGTGGTGCAAATCGTGCTAATGACTCCAAAAGAATCTTCTGGAAAAAAGAAATGATTGAAGGGAAAAAGGTATTGCTTGTTACTGATAGCAAACGCTTGGTGGAACAGCGCCAGACAACTGGGAGCTATCGTGGAGAAATTCATAAGAATAATATCCCCACATGGAGATTTTCGACGGGAACCGACCACCTTGATGGCCATATGGATGTGAATGCAGCGAGGCCCAGGCTGGGTGTCGGCCCTTTCTGCCTCTCTGACCTCGCCTCTGCCTACTCTCGATGTCTGTGCTCTAGCCTCGAGCTTCGCCGCAAAATCAACTGTTATGGAAGTCACTCAATGAAAACTAGTCCTATGCTTCACTAAACAGACTTCAGGACCTATTAGGGGAGAAACTGATTTCCCCTAAAATGTGATCGAGCTCGAGTCCGGTTGCGGGACGGTGTTTGTTGGCCAAGAACTTGTTGTGCAGATCAATTCCGTGAGATTTCGAGATTGCGTGGAGTACTACAAAAGCCTTGTTGCGAACTTTCCGATCGGTCATTACACCTGTAGATGATCGCGGATATTCAAGCTGTCAGCTGTTTCGAGAACCTTGTGAACGTCCTTTCCTCCATATCTCGATAGTCGATTGTGTGTCCTGGCCTTCATGACGTGGATCGCTCCACTCGAGCACCCTTCGCCCGACCACTCGATGCGAACTTCTCGCCACTTTTCAACATTTGAACCGAACCTCTCAAGCGGTGTACAGGGGGAAGACCACCTGCGGTTCAACAAGAACGCATCATCAAACATCACCAAGCCTTAAGCTTCTTCACATCTGTTATTGGGAAGTTTCAGATTGATAAGTATCTCATAACTTATTTTTTTAATCATATCATCCGACCGCAGACCCGTTTAAGAAGCGCTGACCCGTTTAAGAAGTGCTCAGCACGAGTAGAATTACCTGAGTTGAGTTTGCAGTTCCCTCGTTCCTTGATAGCACCGTTGGGGTATATCGAGCAACGCTTTTGCAAAGCGACCAGAATTGGCCTATGCGAGGGAATTTCCTCTTTTTCCGTTAATGAGTTCCGCCCTTCTAGTTTTCGTAACAATAAGTACATTTTAGTTGCTGGGAGGAGTAAACATGCAGACCAAATGGCACACGCGATCCCCTCTGAATCGCCCCGTAAACAAATAGACGCGATAAATAAAAGAGCACATGAACTTTGAGAATAGGACCGGGCTAACCGGTTTTTGAAGAAGTTCATCAGTTCGTAGCAGCTGAGAAACGCTGGAACGTTTTGGGCTTCCATTGAAATACATGTCAACTGAAAGCGCGTTGTTCATGTTTGGTGTTGCAAAGCATTCTTTGGAAAGTTCCATTCCCACCTAGAGCCCATTTTAAGTTCTAGTTAGTTACATAAGCTCCGATCTGGGACAGAGGGAAGAGCAGCATTAGATAAACAAAGCGTAGGTCGCTCCTCTGTTGTACTGCGGATGACAAAGGCATCTAGCAATGAGCTCCCAATGCTTGCCAGAAACTTGTCTTCCGTTGATTTGGGGAAGAAAGGTGTTTCTCCTTGTGAAATGTAACACCGCTGAAGCGTGAATAGGCAACCCACTCGTCGACGGACGCCTCTGCCAGCTATGTGCCTCCGCAGCCGTCCATAACAGATGCGAAGCTGCGGGCGATCTATGTCGATTGCCACCACAGTCTCCAGAGACCCCATCGCGAAAACGGCTATTATCAGCGTTTTTCCTCCTTCAGTGCTTTCCGATCTCTCATCGTGAATGGAGCGGTCGCAGAAACGATTCCCGCCCTGGAGACTGCAAAATCAAGCACAAATCGAAGTCGTCATAGCAATATCTTGGAATGTACACTTTATGTTCCCAAGGTGCTTTGAAATAAAATACTGTGCATTGCATTTCAGATCATATGTCGTTTATGAGCCCTCAAATGACCTGCTATCGTTTTACATCATGATCCTCTTCGAGTCAATCATTTGCTAAATTTGAATAGTTGAAGCAGTTTTGTGAAAGACAGTGTATCTCAGGGAAACATGCAGACGAACTTCAGAGTTTCGTCAATTGATTCATACTGTGATACGAATGGTGAATGTATTAACCTTCAACTGCCCAAAAGTTGTATGATAGATCGTTAGACCATCACGAGGAGCTGCTACGCTCACTTTAATAAACAGAATAGCAGGTTCAGTTCTTGCTTGCTGGATTTCAATTACAATGTATGTATGTATGTATGTATGTATGTATGTATGTATGTATGTGTGGGGTACAAATTGGGCAAGAAGTAGACAGCAGGGTGGAAAGACTGACTAGGAAGTGTTTTTTGTCGGTTTGTCGGTCTGTCCGTGGGTGTGGTACGTTAGTCTCGACTGACATTACTTCGCGCCGAGGTGCGAAATGACCTTAATATACCTAACCTTACTTAATTACGCGCCTCCCCTTGATCGTAACTAACCTTGTCTTACTTATGAGAGTGATGGCAGTATGATGAGAATAGCGAGAAAATGGAATATCAAGGAAAGTAGTTTTTAGCGTAAAATTTTTATGGTCTTCAGTTTCAAAAGTTCTATTACCATATGGAATAGAAAAATTCGAGGGTCATTGAGATGAAGTTCGTGTAAAATGTAAAATTTCATGGTCTTTGGTTTTAAAAGTTCTATAACCATATAAAAATACAAAAATTCAAGTGTCATAAAAGTGAAGTCCGTGTAAGATGTAAAAACAAAATTCTTTTTTTTTTAAATTTCCACTCATCTGTGATATCAAACAACATTTACAGAATCGACGAAGTTGTTTGATGTTGGAGCATCTCGTGTTTGAAAGGTCATTGAACACCCGCCGGCTCATCAGTTAGGCCATTTCACACTTTTCATGGAATATTACAATACTTCAGGCTAAGTTCAGCGCATCTTTAGCACAGCACATTTTCTCTTTTTTTTTTTTTTGAAATCTTACTCTCGTTTCTATACGTAACTCATCAACATTTTCTCAGGTTCGACGAAGTTCATCAGAGAGGAGCAAATCGCATCCAAATTGAGGGGTTTTGCATAAAGATGTCAAAATTCGTAACGAACAAGACCATCTGAGTTGTTTAATTATTAATTTTAAGATAATTCTCATTAGAAAAATTAAGCTTCTTTAGATTTTATCGAAATTTTGTTGTTGAAATTTCTATCATATTGCATGGTAATAAGATTTTTAAAACCGAAGACCATAAAAATTTTACGTTAAAAACCACTTTTCTTGAAATTTCATTTTCTCCTTATTTTCATCATTGCCATCACTCTCATAAGTAAGATAAGGTTACTTACGATCAAGGGGAGGCGCGTAATTAAGATGAGGATAGTCATTAATGAGGTCACTTCGCACCTCGGCGCGAAGTAATGTCAGTCGAGACTAACGTCACACACCCGTCTATCCGTCCGCAAAACTTATGATTAAGATAAAGGTACTGATGAAAACCTTGCTCTGTTCTATACTTCCTTGCTATATATAAGGCAGTAACCTGGGGGTAGGTTGGTGGAGTAGCATAAGTGCCGCGCAGTGAAGTGAATGGTGTGGAGTTAAGTGGGCACTTCAAACCTGTGAATTCGATCTGTTTTGGCATCGTGCTATGTATGTCTATACAAAAATCGGAGGTGATAGTGTAGTTGGAGATTCCGCTCCTCTTCAACATAATTTCAACATAAGGAGGTTAGCCCATAATTGTGCTTATAAACCCTTTGACGACCATGGCACCCGCCGGTAGGTGCCACTATGACTGGCGCATGGGACCATGGCCACCCAATGTTGGGTGCCACCACGTTTTTTTCTTTATTTGCAAATTTGAAACTTATTTAATGTTTTCGTACCCATTACAAACATCATAGTATTTATACTTAGCACGGTCCACGTGAATGTTTTATAAGAGCTCATTTATTACAAACATATATAGTCAATAGAGTAGTAGTGAAAAGTTCTAGATATTTTGCAAGATTTGTGTGGGTCGTGGAAGCATTGGAGGCAGTACTTAGAATACCTGATTTGTCATTATGTGGCCGCGCGGTCGATCTCTTAACCCTCAAGTTTCTTCTTGGATGTTATACGAACTCCTATTGCTCACACAATTACCAAAATCCTCACCTACATTGCTTCCAAACCCGAAGGGCAATTCTAAGCCTCAGTTTAATACGAGATAAAATAAGATTTGACGTTTCTGTTATGCGGAAATATTGCTATGTTTATTACGCCAGAGAAAGGAGTTCCTCCTGGGACCATGGCACCCACCGGTGGGTGCCAGTCGCGCAAAAAAGCAGGGGGCGTGGTCCCATGGGCGCGTCACGTTGAAACCGGCATTGTCGTCAAAGGGTTAACGTTTCTCAGAACACAGTTTTGATCTGAGCTTCGGGAGGAAAGGGGTACCGAAGTGGGCGAGTCAATTGAATATCCAACTCATACCCCATTCTAGCTTTTTGCACGATTTAATCATCTCACCCCTACCCCGCCACGCCCTTCCCCCTGAGCCTCAGCTTGAAACCATATTCTTCCGCCTAGAACCGTTTCGGAACACATTCCGGTTGCGAATGCACAGAGAGCTG